TCTACACAATTGATCTATGTATTGTGATGAATTTTATGAGCCCCAATAAATTGATTTTTTTTAAAAAGAAAAGAATGGGAATTCCATAATACTTCATTGTGATAATGTACATAGACAAAGAAGCAGTGTTCCAACAGAACAGGGGAATACTATGTGGTTTAAAATCAGGAAAGTTGTATCCAATCACCATACTTATTCAATCTGTATGTTGAATAGTAATTCTAAACTTTGGAGAAGGAGAGGAAGAAGAATATGGCATCAGAACTGGAGGAAGGCTTGTTCACAACTTGCAGTAGACAGGTGACACATTTTGCTTGGTGAAAGGGGGGAGGACTTATAGTCATTGAACTGTACCCTTTAGTATGGTGGGCAACTCAATGTAAAGAAAACTAAAATCCTCAGAACTGGACCAATAGAGAGTATCATGATAAATGGAGAAAAGTCTTAAGTTGTCAGGAATTTCATTTTGCTTGGATCCAGAAGCAATGCTCCTAGAAGCAGTAGTCAAGACATAAAATGATGTATTGCGTGGGGCAGATCTCTTATACAAGACCTCTTTAAAACGTTGAAGAGCAAGAATGTCATTTTGAGGATTAAGGTATGCCTGACTTTCTCATATGCATGTGAAAGTTGGATCAACGAATAAGGAATATTTCCAAAGGATTGGTGGATTTGAATTATGGTGCTGTTGAAGAATACTGATCGTACAAAAGACTCTCAGAAGAATAAACCAGTCTGTCTTGGAAGAAGCACAAGCAGAATGTTTCTCAGAAGAGAGGATGCTGACACTTCGTCTTACACATGTTCTGAGGACAGTCGTGGAAGAGGAATCATCACTGGTAAAGTGGAGGGAGGTCAAAGAGACAGGAGAAGGCCGTGTTTCATTCTGTTGTACACGTTGCTATGAGTTGGAACTCAATTCCTGCCTAACATATTTTTTTCATAATATCACCAACAGTTTTGTACAATGGGGCTAAGATAATGTAGTTTTTTCATTTTCTGCTTATTTTCACTCTCTACTCTTCCTAGCATTATCATGGTGTTTTTTTTTTGACAAGGCATATAAGGGGACTTCAAAAAGTTCATGAAAAAATTCCACTATTTTTAATTCCACTTTGTTAAAAACTTTTAAAACTACCAATTAAAGTGGCCACAGTCCGCAGTCTCTTTGCTTCTCTTCCACGTAAACATGGAGAGGATTTGTATTGTGTTGAATATGACCCATAAGAGCAATTAAAGGTGAGGGGCAGATGAGCCGAGTTGTCATTGGCGGTGTCCAAAACCCTCTTCCAGAGGAAATGAAATCTCTCATCAATGTAAACCTTATCCAAGAGGTACTTATAGTAGCAATTTATCTATCTCAGACATAAGCAACCAAGCACCTTACATTTACCCAGAATCCACTCAGAGCGGTGGCACAGAGAAAATCCTCCGCAATGATCAATGAAAACAGAGTCGCTTTTACTCTCAGAAAAGAAACAGAGTAGACAGAATGAGATTGAATCCTGGTGTTGAAAAATATGCAATCAAAAATATCCAAAAGGATAGTTTATTAAATTACATTTGAACTAGACGTTGTCATTTCTGAAATTATTCCCCAGTGGCTTAAAGAGTGTGTTTGCTTGTTTGTTTGTTTTAAGTATGTATCTGTCAGGACACTTGGGTAGGGAATACTCCCAAATATGTAGAACTCTTTTGAACAGTCAGATAGTGTGAATTCTTTTTTAAATGATGGTAATAAAAATAGAGGGCTGTTTTTGTTTGCTTTGAGATCTGCTGTGCATAGAGCCCTTCCCAGATAGCAGTGTTTAGCAACACTGTTCCATGACATTCTGCACACCTGAGCTCCCCTTCATTGGTCTATTACAGTTGTTGAGGAAAATACATTCAGGAAGTGCTATTTAACCCCAAACATGAAAATGCCATATGGCATTACTTACCAGGGATGTCCTTCTTTCCAGTAGCTGACTGTTCATCACTTTCTCCGAAAGTGGGATGTCTAACCTATTAATTACTCCTTTGTTACACATGCTTAACTTTACGTCTTGTAAATAAGCCACTTACCGCAGGAAATTGTAGCAAATAAGGAGATGAGATAAGCTGCCTGGCAGAACAAAATCATCCTAGAAAATAAAACAACACAGACATGACTGCTGGTTGTAGACCTTATTTAACATAAAAGTAAGGTAATAAATTATACATGTATAATTTATATATGCTCCAATATATAAAATTATTGTAGTACATAATTTACATATACTTCCATATGCTTGTAATTTAAATATATATATCAATCCTATATACACAAATAACAGCATAGAGAACAAGAGTTTTCTATGCCTTTTGAGCCTACAGACTTAAACAGTTTAGAATGCTTCACAAGATGAAAAGCTGAGACCTGTAGACCATGACTGTGTTTGTTATTGATTTGCATCCTTTATTGCTAGTAATTTTAGAAAGGGAAACAATTGGGTGGCGAGGAAGGAAATGATCGTGAAACTCCATCGTTTTAGCCAAAACAAATGATTGTCAATTACAGTGAACCCTCGTTTATCGCGGTTAATCGGTTCTAGACCCTACCGTGATAAATGAAATTCCGCGAAGTAGGATTCCTTATTTGTAAATCAAATA